CTTTATTAAAATTTTTATTTATTATTTTCTTTTTTAAAAAAAAATTTTTTTTATTTACAAAAAAATATATATATTAAATATATATATTAAATATATATATATAGAAAAAAAATTTAAAAAAAAAAAAAATTTAATTTTTTTTAACTATTATTATTATTATTATTATTACTATTATTATTATTATTACAATTATTATTATTACTATTATTATCCTTTTTTCTTTTATTATTATTATTTAAAAACTTTAAACAGAGATTCTCATGCTTCAACTCCTTAACTTGCTTCTTCAGGTTATTGATTTTTGTTGCATCTCTTTTTGGAATTTTCTTTTTTTTAATTCTGCATATGTTTCATTTAATCTATTCTGAAGTTTGATATAACTAGAACAGCTAGCACCACTTGTATATTCTTTTGTTTTCTTTTTAAGCTGAATCAAAGAACTCTGAATGACTGCTATTGTGTCTTGGAGGGATCTGAAGTAGGTTAGCAAATCTTGGTAAGTTGTGATAAGATTATTAGAAATAGAGAAGAAGGCAGCTGAGAACTGGATTATGTTAAAACTATATTTTTCAAGAGACATTTTCAAAGTTTTTTTTCTAAAAATTATTAAAAAAAAAATAAAGATTTATCATTATAATAAAAGAAACAAAAGAGAAGTGCACATGAAAAAAATAAAAAGAGCTAGCTGTACAATATTAAATATTGAGTTACGATTCTTTTTCACTTTAACCTGGGCATCCAAGAAGTCAAACAAGAAAAAAAGAAAACTTCAAGCAATCTAATGAAAAAGCAAAAGTTCCTTTATAAACTTGTATGATAATCATAGATGTAGGAAAGTAGAAAAGAAAATAAAAGAATATAACCTTTTATATTATTGTATAGATGTTGATAAAAACTAAATAAAAAATTAGTTGGTTTTATAGCAAAAAAATAATTATAAAAAATTTTGAAACAATTGATAATCATTTTTCTAAAAACAAGTCACTATAATTTAATCAGTTTGATTATTTTTTACACTAAGTTCCTTGAACAATTTGGAAGGTTCTAGATCAAAAATCAAGTTTATTGTTATCAAGTTTAAAAATGATAAACTATTATAATTGTTGATTATCGACAAACAAATAACTAAATATAGAAATTTAGCATGCTGATTTATCAATAAAACAAAAATTAAAGTTTGAAGGCTAAGTTATAATTAGATTAGCTGATAGAAACTTTTAGAACATTATCAATAAAATTTAAAAAAAGATTATTATAATGGCTTATAGAAAGTGTATATGCTTCAGAGAATCTCGTATTTTAAGAAGAGAAATATATAATAGAATTTACTTTTTTCATATATTATTATATATTTATTTTTAGTTCTATATTATATATTATATTTTTTTTAATATTTTTACATAGTTTATAAATTATTTTATTAGTTTTAATCACCTATTTAATAGGTTAATATTTATTTTATTAGTAGATTTCTTATACATAGAATTTTATTATACATAGCTAATAATTGTTAGAATATTTAAAATAATAGTTGTTTAACATTACAAGAGCCCTGACCAAAGGTTCCAGATCATG